GTCCCGCTTCTAATTTGTGTAATCCACAGTGTTACCATGTAAGAAGGCATAGATAAGTGGTAGAACAAATACGGACATAAAACACAATTTGTATATACCTCGTTGGGGAGACACGGTTACAGGTTCCGGAGGCTCTGTATATTCCTTGTGCGGTGGCGGTGTCAAACCTATATTTGATGCCACAGAAGACATAAGCTTTTTGGAATAAAGCACAAAGGGATTACATACCAAGTATGGACGACAGGGTAATGTTGTTTTCTGGATAGACAAAATTTATATTTGTCAGAAAACACAAAGTTTTTAATTTTAAATACCATCATCACGAATACGTACCCAGGGGATTTGGCATTAGGGGGGCCATATTTTCATTAATTTGTTTTTGTGTTTATTAACTGATATAAGTTTTTATCTTTCAATGAAATTATGATTAGTGTGATTACTTACCCTTTGGTAAATCTCCATGATACCACACATAATCTCCGGATGGACTCACGCACTTATCTACACATTTCGCAGATGTGAGTTTTTCGCATTAAGGTTCAATTCACACAAATACATACCTTTTTTGTCAGAATTACGAGGAACCCACAGATAGTAGCCATCGTTGTTAACAATTACGCTTTCAAAACACTCAACATCATCTATACATGTTGGCGAATGTTATGAAATTGTTTTGAAGTGCAGTCACTATAGCAGATAAGATCTTTAAAATAAAAATTGCGCGCATACTTACTTATTGTATGTGTTTCGTACGTTGGATGTTCCAGCCCACCTACAAACATTATAAGGTATAAATTTTTTGCAACATGGTTCAATCAGAGCAAGTGCGTTATATACCTGATAGTTTTCCGTGGTTCCATTTGAAATAATAATTAGCCCCCTCCGGTGCGGGTTTAATACAAGAATCTAAATTTTTTGATTAAATTATTTATGTTTTTAAACTGGAATTAACAAGAGTACATACCGTTAGTGGCGGTTCCATTGTGTGTGGTATAATGCCCGTCAGTATCACCCAAATTACTGTTCTCACGCTCTGAACAAACTGCTTGTGGAAAAGAACATGATAGTTTTCAATTATTACAAGAAGTAGCATAATAAAAAAATAAACCGAGTTTACATATAAAATTACGCTTAAAGGAACTTTATGCGTTTGTCTAACTAAACATAATATGTTTTACAGTATTCGATTACCATAAATACTTACGCGGATCTTTGTATGCAGTCGAAATTAGCAGAAATATCACATTAAACATGAAAAGAAAGATAAAATAGGGGAAACGAATTTTTCTAAATATGTATATTCGCAAAGCAAGTTTATATGTGTATCAGCACTAATACAAGACGAATTGTTACAAAGTAGTTCAATTATCAGAAATACTTACAACCTGTATATGCAGTAAAAGTTGACAGAAATATCAAATTAACGATCATCCGAGAAATAAAATAAAAAATGTATAAATATATGTGTATATTTCCTGATGCGACTTTATGGGTTCGTGTTGACTGACACAAGAAAATTTGTTTCAAAGTAATCCAATTACTACAAATACTTACAGCCTTTACATGCAGTTGCAGTTACCAGAAACGTCAAGTTAACGATCAGCCGGGAGATAAAAATATATAAAAAAGAAATTTATAAATAAATATTCATGAGCGTATATATGCGTATAATAAATGCGAGATAACTGGTTTCAGAATAATTCGATTATCGGAAATACTTACCCTCTTTATATGCCGTCGAAGTTAGCAGAGATATCAAATTAACGACAAACCGAAAAGTTAAAGAAAAGAAACATAAAATTAATATAAAATAATATTGCTGAAGGAACATTACGTATTGGACTTGACCGATGCAATACAAATTGTTTCAGGTTAATTCGATTACCATAAATACTTACGGTCTTTATATACAATCGAAGTTAGCGGAAATATCAAATTAACGATAAACCGAAAAATAAAAAAAATAAAACATAAAATTTATAAATGAAAATATTCCTGAAGGGACTTCATGTGTACATAAATGCAAGACCACTTGTCTCAGAGTAATTCTTATACCAGAAATACCTACTCTCTTCATATGCAGTCGAAATCAGCACAAATATAAAAACAAGAATAGACCGAAAAACAAAAAAATGAAACATAAAAATTATATATAAGAATTTTTCTGAACGGAGTTGATGTGTATATTTTGATAAATGGTAGATCACTTATTTCAGAGTAATTAGATTATCAGAAATACTTACTCCCTTTAAATGGAGTCGAAGTTAGCAGGAATACCAAATTAACGATGAACCGAGAAACAAGAAAAAAGGAACACTTTAAATTTATGAATAAAAATATTCCTAAAGGAATTTCGTGTCTACATCAGAGCTAATACAAGGAACTTTTTTCAGAGTAATTCGATCACCAGAAATACTTACATTCTATATATGCAGTCGAAGATAACAAAAATATTCAGTTAACGATGAACCGAAAAATAAAAACGAAAACAAAAAACTTTTAAATAAAAATATTCGTAAAGGAAGTTTATGTGTTCATCTTAACAAATGCAAGATAACTTGTTTCAGAATAATTCGATTATCAGAAATACTTACTTTCTTTATATATATAATCGAAGTTAGCAGAAGTATCAAATAAACGATGACCAGAAAAATAAACAAAACGAAAACATAAAAATTATAAATAAAAATATTCCTGAAGGAAGTTTATGTTTACATTCTGACTAATATAAGGTAACTCGTTTGAGAGTAATTCGATTATCAGAGAAACTTACTCCCTTTACATGAGGTCGAAGTTAGCAGAAATACCAAATTAACGAATAAACGAAAAATAAACAAAAAAAAAAAAAAACAATAGAAATATTAGTGGAGGGAATTTATGTGTACATCTTGACTAATGCAAGACAACTTATTTCAGAGCAATTCGATTATCAGAAATACTTACTCCCTTTAAATGCAGCCGAAATTAGCAGAAATACCAAATTAAAGATAAACCAAAAAACAAGAAAAATGGAAAACATAAAATTTATGAATAAAAATATTCCTGAAGGAACTTTATGTGTACGTCAGGACTAATACAAACAACTTTTCTTGAGAGTAATTCGATTATCAGAAATACTTACAATCTATGTATGCAGTCGAAGTTAGAAGGGATATGAAATTAACGATGTCCCGAAAAAAAAAAATAAATAAATAAAAGATTAATTATCTAAATGAAAATTTTCCTGAAAAGACTGTATGTGTACGTCTTGACTAATGCAAGATAGTTTGTTGCAGGGTAATTCGGTTATCAGAAATACTTACGATCTATGTAAGCAGTCGAAGTTAGAAAGGATGTGAAATTAACGATGCCCCGAAAAATAGAAAAAAAACGAAAATATAAAATTAATAAATAGAAATATTCCTGAAGGAATTTTATGTGTACATCTTGACTAATGCAAGACAACTTATTTCAAAGTAATTCGATTATCAGAATTACTCACCATCTATGTGCGAAGTCGAAGGCGGAAAGATATGAAATTAACGATGCCCCGAAAAATTTAAGTAACCGAAAAAATAAATTATTTAAATAAATATATTCTTGAACGAACTTTATGTATACACCTTGACTAACGCCAGGTAACTTGCTTCAGAGCAAATTGTTTATCAGATTTACTTACACACTTTATACGCACTCGAAGTTAACAGAAACATCAAATTAACGATTACCCGCAAAATATATAAAACGAAAAGATAAAATTTATGAATAGAAATATTATTGAAGGGACTTTATGTGTACATCCTGAAAAATACAAACTTGTTTCAGAGTAATTAGATTATCAGAAATACTCACATTCTATGTATGCAAGCGAAGTTAGCAAAAGCGTCAAATTAACGATGACCCGAAAAATAAACAAAACGAAAACATAGAGCTTATAAATAAAAATATACTTGAAGAAACTTTATGTGTACATCTTGAGTAATACCAGATAACTTGTTTCAGAGTAATTCGATTGTCAGAAATACTTACCCGCTTTATGCCCAGTTTAAATTAGCAGAAATATCAAATTACCAATGAATCGAAAAATAAATAAAAAGAAAAGACAAAATTTATAAATAGAAATATTATTGAAGGAACCTCATGAGTACATATTGCATGATACAAACAACTTGTTTCAGAGTAATTCGATCATCACAAATATTTACCTTCTTTATATGCAATCGAAGTTACCATCAATTTATCGATGAACGGAAAAATAAACAACATAAAAACATATTTATGAATAAAAATATTCCTGAAAGAGCTTTATGTGTACACCTTCACTAATACAAGATAATTTGTTTCAGAGTAATTGGATCATCAGAACAACTTACCAGCTTTTTATGCAGCCGACGTTAGCAGAATCAAATTAACGATGACCGGAAAAATAAAAGAAACGAAAAGACAAAATTTAAAAATAGAAATATTACTGAAAGGACTTTATGTGTACATCTTGACTGATGCGAAATAACTTGTTTCAAAGTAAATCAATTATCAGAAATACTTACACGCTATATACGCAGTCGAAGTTAGCAGATATATTAATTCAACGACGAAGAGAAAAATAAACAAAATGAAACCATAAAATTTATAATAAAAATTAATCTTAAAGCAACTTTATGTGCACATCTTGACTAATGCAAGATAACTTGTTCCAGAGTAATTAGATTATCAAAAAAACTTACCAGCTTTATATGCCGTTTAAGATAGCAGAAATATCAAATTAACGATGACCGGAAAAATAAAAAAACAAAAAGAAAAAATTTACAAATAGAAACATTACTGAAAGGAGTTTATGTGTACATCTTGACTGATGCGAGATAACTTGTTCCAGTATAATTCGATCACCAGAAATACTTACACGCTATATACGCAGTAGAAGTAAGCAGAATTATCAAATTAATGATGAATCGAAAAGTAAAGAAAACGAGAAGAAAAAATTTATAAATAAAAATATTCCGGAAGAAATTTTACGGGTACATCCTGACTAATATAACATAACTTGTTTCATTATAATTCGGTTACCACAAATACTTACGGTCTTTATTTGCAGTCGTAGTTAGAAGTATGAAGTTAACGATGAACCGAAAAATAAATAAAACGAGAAAAAAAATCTATAAATAAACTTAATCCAGAAGGAACTTTTTATGTACATCTAGACTAATACAAGATTACTTATTTTAGAATAATTCGATAATTAAAAATACCTACCATCTATGTATGCAGTCGAAGTTAGCAGTAATATCAAATTAACGACGAACCGAAAAATAAACAAAACGAAAACATAACATTTCTAAATAAAATTATACCTAAAGGGCTTTGATGTGTGCACTTTGACTAATGCAAGATAACTTGTTTCAAAGGAATTTGATTACCAGAAATACTTACCACCTTTATATTCAGTTAGAGTTGGCGGAAATATGAAATTAACGATGAACCGAAAAACAACAAAAAATCGAAAATATAAAATTTATAAATAAAAATATTACTGAAGGGATTTTATGTGTACACTTAGATCAATGCAAGATAACTTAATTTAGAATAATTCAGTTATCAGAAATACTTACACACTATATATGCAGTCGAAGTTACCAGAAATATTAAGTTATAGATGAACCGAATAACAAGAAAAAACGAAAATATAAAATTTAAAAAGAAACATATTCCTTAACGGACTTTACATCCTGAGTAATGCAAGATAACTTGTTTCAGAGTAATTCGATTATCAGAAATACTTACATTCTTTATATGCAGTAGTAGTGCAGTAGTAGTAGTAGCAGAAGTATCAAAATAACAATGAGTCGAAAAATAAACAAAACGAAAACGTAAAAGTTAGGAAAAAAAATATTCCTGAAGGAACTTTATGTGTACATCTTGACTAATACAAGATAATTTTTTCCGAGTGATTGGATTATCAGAAATACTTACCCGCTTTATATGCAGTCGAAGTTAGCAGAAATATCATATTAACGATGAACCGAAAAATAAAAGATATGAAAACATAAAATTTATAAACGAAAGTATTCCTGAAGGGACTTAATGTGTACAACTTAATTAATGCAAGATAACTTATGTTTAGAGTAATTCAATTATCAGAAATACTTACCCGCTTTATATGTAGTTGAAGTTAGCAGAAATATCAAATTAAGGATGAACAGAAAAATAAGATAAATGAAAACAGTAAATTTATAAAATAAAAATATTCCTGAAGGAACTTTATGGGTACATCTTGACTAATACAAGATAACTTGTTTCAGAGTAATTCGATTACCAGAAA